GGTGTATGAGTGTGCCTTTGCCATGCTAAACAGTCACACTCTCAATGGCCTCCAGACTGGCAGCTTTTGTGTTCTGAAGAGGACCAGCTTGTGGACTTCAAAGGTGAAATTATGTCAAGACGAACGAGACAAAACGACTTTATCAAACGGCTGCTTTTGAAGTCATGAGGGTGCGCTAGCTCGGTGTCCTGTGTCCTCGCAGGCAGTTAGCGACTAGCTAACACTCACAAAGCAGCCTTGTGATCTTTCTGGGGGGTTCACTACTGAACTGAGGGTAACTGTGGCTAAATGTTGCTATGTCTGCACTGCAAACCTAACCTTAACCTCAAAGGGGAATAACTTTCTGTGTAATTAATCAGTTAATTAAGCAAAGTCATTCAGAGTGGCTAAATCCTGTGTTCTAGAGAAGTCAGAACTGTCCACAGTGGTGGTGAGAAGAACCAGACATCCTAAGTTTTTAATACCTCTAAAAGCTTCTCCACATAAAAGTTATTACATTAAATGGTTATGAATATGCTGACTGACGCTTGGGACATTGTTTTATGATAGTTTTGCAATGAGGTTTTGGCCTGAAATTTATTTTATTTTGTGCTGGTGAGACAGTTGTAAGGCAACATAGTACCCAAAGAGATTTTTATCACTGTTTTACCATCATCGACATCACATATAAAAACTCAGAAGACACGTGTAGGTCCCACTGATCCTTTTGGAAAGCAAAGAAAATGGCTATTTTTGTGTTGTACCCCTGGTTCCTATCACCACCACTGTAAGTCTGAGCCTTTAAGTTTCTCTACAGTAAACCATTTCACATCAAACCACTCAGAATGACTTTGTTTATTGTTCTCAATGACAATGAGTTATGTAGACATTTTGAAAAATTGCTGGAGTTCCCCTTTAAACCTCCCAACCTCCTACAAATAACGTCTATTTTGTAAAGGGGAAAAGGCTTCTTTTTATTACCTCTTGAAAGGCACAAAACATCTGAATTTTCCTAGTTTCCTATAAAGTGCCATGAAGAAAGGACACACGTATGTACATGATATGAACACAATTTTTACCTCAGCTTTTTCCACCACACGGTGAGTACAAGCTGAAATAACACAGTGAAAAGTTAAACATGCGAGTTAAATGTTTACCACACCATAAATGCTAGTTTAGCACAAGTACAAGTGAAATGAAATGGTAAAACATTGGGCTAAACAACAAAACCAAGGTCTACAGTAAAAGTCCTGAGGTAAACAGTTGGATTAAAGCTGGGCTGTGGTGAGAAACATAGTAGTGCTAGCTGGTTAGCTGACTAGTCAGCCGTTGAATGAGAAGTGAGCTAATCTGATGGCTAACTAGCCGTTAACAGCTAACATGTTTGTGTAGCCTAATAAAACTTAGTATTGTGATTAGCTTACAGGCTAACAGTTACAAATCCTTGATTGTATCAGTGTGGCTAGCATACAAATGATGAACCCTGTGTTTTCATTTAGCTTTTTCCAAGTTTTTAGCAAAAGTATGTGGTAAATTAGTAAAGCTTTATTGATTTTAAATTACTTGGCCTACTCACTACATTCTGGGACTAGAGCACAGCCCTTCTGGAAGATTCTCTGGGGAAATATAGTAACTTTTTTAGACCACACAAGTGTTTCTCTATCGACATAATGAGTATCCGCTTATCAAAATCTCAGTGATAGAAAAGCAAATAGAATAAGTCTACGCTTTATTTATCATTTGTACCACAATGAGCTTATAGGGTTGATATATCTGTAGCTGTCATGATGGGCATTTAAGCATGATCCCCTTATGAATAAAAAAACAGAATTACTGCCTCGAAGCAACAGGTATTTTAACGTTATAAACAGAGATAATAGCAAGGCAGTTGTTTGTGCTCCTTTGGGCTGTTCTAACACTAATGTTCATACAGCTCGAGATGAATAAGGTGTTTTCAAGTTGTATTTGAATCTGTAACATTTAGGGTAAATTACGACAAACCAAAATGTTTGCTATCTGAATATTAAAATAAACCATAGCTCTAAAAGCCTTATCTGTTTTTTTCATGTGAAAGAATGAATGCGTCTAAAATATTTTCTGTACATGTTCACTATTATGCAGGCGTATTTCATTCCTATATATAAAATATAACTAATATGATATATTACTGTGCATACTGTACATTGTCTTAAGCACCTAAGCACCGTTTATCTTAGTAGCGAGTGTGTTTTTACTTGGAAAAACACCATATGTCGTTAAAATAGGTGCAAATAAAGATAAATACAGTAAAAAATCACAAAATGTCTTATTCTGAATAAGTAGTTGGTATGTTATGAACTAGTCGGAAGTGTGGTTCCAGTTTTCTCCTCGACGTCTCTAACCATCGTAGGGATTTGTTCAATTTCAGCACACCTGACTTAAAATAATGAAGCACTGACAACACTACTTATAAAATCACTGCATATTACATAAATGTTATTTGTATTAATTTGAATATCACTGTATCATGTGTGTGTGTGTGTGTGTGTGTGCGCTTGTTTGTGTGTGCGCATGTATAATTATATACATATATATATATATATATATATATATATAGAGAGAGAGAGAGAGAGAGAGAGAGAGAGAGAGAGAGAGAGATGTATACGTGAGTTTTTGCACACAATGTTATTGATGGTGAAATAAATGTAAATCTGCGGAAAAAACCTTTAGGGAATATTTTGCCTTACAGGGCCCTAAAAAGTTTAAGGCCAAAATCTTCACACACAACTATCCTAAAATACAATGTCTGAGACCTCAGGCACACACACACACACATATATACATATATATATATATATATATACATACACACACATATATATATATATATATATATATATATATATATATATATATATATATATATATATATATATATAGGTCTGAAACATTGTATGTAAATTTCACAAAAATAAACTACCCAGATTGACTACATTGCAAAAAGAGAGAAAAACTATTTGCCTTTAAATTCAAAATCATAATTCAAAGAATCCATTCATTCAAATAATTCCTTAAATCAAATTATATTTATTTTACAAAATGTCTCATTATAAATATTTTAAGAGCATCATAGAACATGAATTATCACAGAAAAAAATCTTGATTGTATTCCAGTTCAGCATGATAAATCAGTAAATATGTTATAGTAGACTATTAGATGATGTGGAATTAAGGCTGTTTGTTGGGTGAAAATCATATTCAAGGTTAGTAAATATCATGTTAAAATAGTATTCACATTTTTGTAGCAGATCATAACAGTTAGCATTTCTAAAGATATAATATTTTACCATTTACATTTGTTTTAATAAAAATGATTCACATTTGACTTTGGGCTCATTTCATGACATTATTTCTTCCTAACATAGTGCATTCCAGGACAGTGTCTTTACAAAGGCAAGCATGCATGCGAGGCATGCCGTAATATGTACACATATTTTCCCCAATACTGACTTTATACATCTCTCCAATTTACAGCAAACAAAAACCTTTCATACAGTGAAAGCACAGTTCAGTATTAGTCATAGAGTTAAGCAATGGCCCGTCTCAAGCATCAAAAATTATGAAAGATTCAAAAGAAAATATAGCAATAAATATGTTAAGCGTGATTGTTGGGATATATGTTTTACCTGCTTGAGATCTGACAGAAAAGTGCCATAATAAATAAGTGGCAGAAGATCTATACACTGTGGGTCAGTTCTCTGGACAGTCTTGGACTACACACCATTCTGAAAGGAGTGTCCGTATTGAAAAGTAAATGTAGTCCAAGACTAGGCTTAAGCCCTGTCTGGGAAACCAACCCTATAAGAAATAAATACAAAATAGTTTGAAAGACCATAACCGGCAACTCCACCATCTCTACATATTTCAGTGGTTGAGATGTAAATAAAGCCATTCAGGGCATTTTGATGTGAAATGGTTCATTGTACAGAAACTTGCAGATTTCTTTACAGTGATGCTGATAGGGACCAGGGGTCACGATGCCTGAAACACAGCTAAAGCCATTTTATTTACTGTCCAAAACCGCCAGTGAACCTACACGTGAGTTTTTGTATGTAATGTTGATGATGGTAAAATAAATGTAAATCTGAAAAAATAAACTTTAGAGAATATTTTGCCTTACAATGTCCTAATAATATGTTTTAGGCCAAAATCTCATCTCAGAAATATTATAAAATAAAACATCTTGGACTTAAGGCAGAATATTTGTATCCATTTTATGTAATAGCTTTCTTTGGAGGTGATAAATGCTTCGGACGTCTGGTTCCTATCACCACCGCTGTAAACGATTCTGACTCTGTAGGTTTCTCTAGAATGGAGCGCATCACATCAAACCATTCTGAATGACTTTTTTTTTACATATCTGAATGATTTTAATATGCAGAAACATAAAAGCCCTGTAAGAGGTGTTCACGTTGTCATTCTTTACTGACCCGAATAAATGTTACACCCTCCAGGATACTTTACAGAGTTCTCAAGTGACGGTAGATCCATACACTATAAGAGATATATACAGTACAATAAGTGGTACCTAGGATTAATCCCTGTATGGGAAACCCAATAAGAAATAAATACAACACAGTTTTGCAGTACCTTAAGAGGTGTCCAAGTGTCCACTCACACTGCCAAGAGAGTAAATATTAGACTCTGCAGGATCTTTATCAGAGCTCTGAAGCGGCAGTCGCTGTCCGAAGCAGTGTGTACTAGGGGCGTAAATCTCCAATCACCACAGTTTGACTGAATTCTTTCGGTTTGCTTCATTTTTGAAAATACACCAAACACGCGAATGACTGTAGGAACTATTTTACATGATAAAAAAATCACTAAGCTTTTTATCTTGGATATTTACATTGAAAAATAGCCAGAGACTTTTATTTTGCCCAAAGATTCCAAAACTGACACAGTTAAATCATCACCTTCAAATCAAACCACTGCGATGCATTTTAACACCCCTAGTACCTCCGCACATCTATGCCACTTCAAATCTACAGCAGAGCAGCATGCAGAGCTCCACTCTTGTCTTCCGTCAGATCCGTCGCTTCCCTGTCCATCCGGGACAGACCAGTCAGAGCGGGCATAGAGGCCAGTGTTGGGGTGGGTTTGATGGGCACAGGCACAGCGGGCATGTTGGGGCCACCAGGATGGTGGTAGAGCCCCTTGACGGCCACCCCGAAGGAAGGGTACTCGGGCGGGACGGGCGGCGGCTCAGCCAGAACTCCTACGTGGGGCCACACGGGGTTGACCACACCCCCCAGCGTAGGGGCAGGTACCGGGTAGCCCAAATGGTGCATGACGGAGGCGATGGGCATCACACCCTTGTAGTCTCGGCCAATCAAGCTCTCGATGGCGAAGGGGTGCTTGAAGCCCCCAGCCTGGGCGTAGCTTTGGAAGTGCGAGGAGAGCCGTCCCATGGCTCCTAAGTAATCCGGATGACCTGCGGCCAGCTTGCTGGGGTGATGTGAGTGGTGGTGATGCGGGGGGTGCTGCTGGGCATGGTGATGCGGGTGATACGGGTGCAGGGCGGGCTTGTGCTCGGGCCGCAGAACCTTGAAGCGCTTTCGGCGCCGCAGAAAGCTTCCGTTTTCGAACATGTCGCCACAGTCCGGGTGCAGCGCCCAGAAGCTGCCCTTACCGGGCTGGTCGGGTCGCCGAGGTATCTTGATGAAGCAGTCGTTGAAGGACAAGTTGTGGCGGAGGGAGTTCTGCCAGCGCTGTGTGTTCTCACGGTAGTACGGGAAGCGCTCCATGATGAACTTGTAGATGTCGCTCAGAGGCAGCATCTTCTCCGAGGAGTTCTGGATGGCCATGGCTGTCAGGGAGATGTAGGAGTAGGGTGGCTTCTGGTCACTGTACGAGTTCTTACCCGGCCGAGGCATGGCACCGAGAGATCCCGTTCTTGCTGCTTCTCAGGAGAGGAGTCGGGCAGTGTCAGTCAGTCAGCGCTGGTCTCTTGAAGGGAATCTTCCAGCTGGAGACAAATCCATCCATCACTTTGCAGATCCACAGCAGACAAGTCTGGCCTACCCGCTCTTTTTGCTTCTGAGTCTCGGAAACTCAGTACTAACCGGCAAAACTAATCGAGTGTCAATCTCTTCCGTCGTGTTTGAAGCGGACACGCACAACTAAGAGACTTTGTTTTGTTTAAAGAAAAAAAAGTTAGCGTGCGTGCTTGCCATGCGCGCGCCCTTGCCTGCGTCCCGCCGGAGCGCACCAGCATCACGGAGCTGCGCGCGTAAAAAGGAGCCGCTTTATGGAGACGGTGCGAGACAGAAGAGGAGGAGAGGGGTGATAGCGGGGGGAGGAGGGTGATAATGGGAATGGGGGGGGTTCACGTGCTCCGAGCTTCATCCGTACCAATGAGAGCGATCACGATTTTGCGCGCTGTGAATAATAATCATATGAAGATGATGCTGATAAATAGAGTTTAAATAATAAAGATCCACGTATTCGTTACATCTAGAAGCCAATAATCCAGACTGAACTGTCACAACTCAACAAGTACTTCCCTCTTATTTCAATATGAAAATTAATGTTTCTTTGATATGTAGGCTGCTTTTACGAATAAGGTCATTCCATCTCGTGATTATCTCTTGAAAACTCCTCTGAAAATGATAGGAAAATAATCGGAATCAGCAAAAAACAAAGGAATTACGTGTAATTCACACATTTTCATGACACTTTAGAAGCATCGTGTTTCAGAACAATTACTGAAATCAGTTCAGTGAATTAAACAGAGCGTTTCCAACAAACTTTAATGAAGAAATAAAGTGGAATGAAGGTCATTTGTGCGTAAAAATGCATTTCATTCACTTACATAGATCATCTATAGTTAGAGACACACTTCTGTAGTTCCATATAGAGTCTCTGTAGAGAAAATAGTGATTCACTCTGAGTTTATTTCTCTCGAAATTTCAGAGACAATATTACAGGAAAAAATAAAATAAAGTAAAACTAAAATGTGTGTCAGACCTCTCTCTCTCTCTCTCTCTCTCTCTCTCGCTGTCTCGGCCTCTGAGCCACTCTAGGTCCTGTGGGTCGAGCTGCAGTGTGTTCATTTATTTATTTGCTTATTTATTACTTGCTTACTGACTTGTTTATTTGTATGCGGAGTTCAGTTAACAACTAACCCAAAATTATAAGGCAGCCCAGATACCTATTTCTTTAAGTTAAAACAATAAATGCAACTTTTTTTTTCCTAATGGGTTGAATTCAATAAAAAATAAACTGTGATTGTGCTTTACAATGTGCAGAAGTGAGTATCTGTAGAGGACGTTTACTATATTTCTTATTTCACTTAGAAAACCTACAAAACATGTCATTTGACATTTGTGTGTGTGTGTGTGTGTGTGTGTGTGTGTGTGTGTGTGTTAAGATCATCTTACCTGGAAGAGAGAGAGAGTTAGTTTACTGTGATGCTTGCTCCACCATTTAAGGATTATCATCGTACTAAGATGCTTTTGGGAATCCTTCCCTGTTCAGGAAGTGTTCAATAACTCCACAAAACACTCAATACAGTAAATACAAATAAACCGTTAAACGGTTAACATCCAAATACCTAGTTTATCTAATAAATCTATATATCTACATATATCCAATCAATCAATACCTAGTTTATCTAATAAATCTATATATCTACATTTATCCAATCAATCAATATCTAGTTTTTCTAACAAATTAATATTTCATTTATCTAATAAGTACAAACTTAGTTTGTGCATGCGTCAATTTCCAGTTTATTTAATAAATCAATAACTTTCTAATCAATCAATGCCTAGTCTCTCTAATAAATCAATATTTAATTCATCTAATCAGTCAATACATAGCTTATCTAATCAATGTTTAATTGATCTAATCAATCAATACATAGCTTATCTAATAAATCAATATTTAATTTATCTAATCAACCAATACCTACCTTATCTAATCAATACCTAGTTTATCTAATAAATCAATATTTAATTCATCTAATCAATCAATCCCCAGTTTACGTGATCAGTCCTTCGGTAAGTTAAAGCAGGTGTGCTGCTGATGGAACTGACCAAATCCACACAGCGGAGTCAAACCTGGTGCTCTTCCAACTGAATAAACGCTTCAGTGAGTTTTAACACACTAAACTCTTCTCTACGTCTTTAATGAAAAGCTCTCTGAGATACGGGCTTTTCTTGCCTGTGCTGTGCGGGGCTCGCAGGCCTGACCGCACAGTAACAAATCACTCACAGGTTCACGCTCCACGTTGGTAGCGCGCGAGGCCCAGGGAGGCGCGAAGGCACGCACACCCTTTAGATCAATATTAAACCTGCTCCCACTAAAAACCCAGAGCGCGAGCTTAAACAGACAGCACGCTGACGCGCAGCACTGATTCATTAGGCGGCTTTTCGCCAGCGTTCAACTCCTGCACCAATAACTAGTTGTAAAGTGCACCTTCCGGGCATATGGAGCATATGCTGGAATTATCCTTAATTGACTAATTACATAAATTACTCGTTAATTTTACAGCACATCAATTATAAAAGATATATCAATTAATTTTGCATAAATTAAAGGCGGAACATGGCAAAACAAAAAGGAAGACTGGGAGATGGGGAGGGTGGGGGGCGGCTGTTCTGGGGCCGCGAGGCGAAGCGTGTGTGTGTGTGTGTGTGTGTTTGGTGGGGGGTGTTGTCTGTTTGTTCCAAGATGCTAATAATTATTTTTACAGCTCTGGGCTAAAGACTGTAACTCTCATTGTGGAAGAGGACGTGAAGGAAACCCGCAGTCACAGAAGCAGCGCTAATGCCGGAGAGTAATGTCAGAGAGCCCTGAGTGCGCGAGCAGAGCAGCGGCGCCTCAAGGACGCGGCGTTTAAATCAATTAAAGAGCCCCTGGTGGGAAACCAAATGGGAGTTTGGCGCTGCATGTTTTTTTAACCCCCCAATATTCGACAAGCCCCGCCCCCTGCGCGGTTACTGCCTAGTAGTTTGGTGGACAACTTGTGAGTATGAACTGCTGACCAATCGCAGAACAACAAGGTCATTGGAACCCAATTCTAGCGCAAGAAGGTCAGTCCTAGCCAATCCTGGCACAGGTGGCTGGACTGCATTAGCCAATAGTAAGGCAGTACTAACCAATCCCAGAACAGGAGAAACAGTCCTATGCAATAGTGCAGGAGGAACAGTAGGGAAGACACTACTAGCCAAATCCAGCACAGGAAAGACAAAACTATCCAGTAGTGCAGGAGGAACAGTACTAGCCAGGTTGGGCTCTAGAACCAAGCACAGCATAAGAAGGACATTATAAGTCAATCCTAATGCAGTGCTAGCCAATGGTGCAGGAAGAACAGTGCCAGTCAATCTCAATGCAGGAAAAATACAACTAGCCAATTGCTGCACGTGATGGGTGCTACTAGCCATTGCCAATGCAGAAAGGACATTACCCAACTACAATGCAGGAATAAAACTACCATCCAGTCACAGCACATGTTGGGCTCTACGAGGCAAACCCAAAGCAAGAAATAAGCTACAAGTCAGTCCCAATGAAGGAAAGACACACTAGCCCATCACTGCTCAGGATAGCCACTACTAGCCAATCTCAATGCAGGAAGTATACAACTAGCCAATCAAAGCACTGGATGGGTGCTACTAGCCATTGCCAGTGCAGAAAGGACATTAGCCAACTACAATGCAAGAATGAAACTACCAGCCAATCACAGCACAAGTTGGGCTCTACCAGCCAATGCAGGAGAAAAAACTACAAGCCAGTCTGAATGGTGGAAAGACGCTGCTAGCCAAACACAGCACAGGAGAGCCACTACTAGCCAATCTTAAAGCAGGAAAGACAACTTCTAGCCAATCACAGCACAGGATGTGTATAAGCTGCCAATTCCAGAGAGAAGGCATTGTACCAGCTAGTCCCAGTGCAGGATAGACACTATTAGCCAATGCTAGTGCAGAAGAAACACTTCTAGCCAATTACAGCACATTATAGACACTTCCAGCCAATCCCAGCACAGAAAGGGCATTACCCACCAATCTCAGCCCAGGAGGCGAGACTTATTGAAATGTAGCTGGAAAAAACAGCACAAGGCCTTCAGTGCTTCCTACCTTCAAAGATTTACTGAGTAATAAAACATTGGTAATAATGATGAACTATAAGAGCGCAAAAGTGATACATTTAATGATTCATTCAATGCTTCAGTTGAAAGACATCAGTGGCACTCCATGCTAACCGTTTATGAGTCCTTTATCTCTTTTGAGGGAACATTTTTGGGGCATATGCTTATTAGTGCTTAGTGAGTTTGAAGGAGAATAACAACAGCAATAGTAATATTTACAGAATTAACCCCGAGCTGTATTTAGAGAATAGGTTGCAAGTACATAAGTGGCTATAAAAATTCTCATTTCACTGTCATCTAATGACAAATTTACAGCAGTGAACATGAAGCCATTGAATATGTGGTGGGCAGCTTCAGCTTGTGCTTTTATGTCCTCAGTGGAGTCCATTCCAGCGATGCCCCCTGGTCTATGTGTTTAAACCAGACAAACTCATTCATCTCCGTACCTGTCACCACTGAGTCAGTCATACAGACGAACCAAACGCAACACGAGCAGACACACATATAGAAAGTGAGAGCCAAAATAAAATCACAGACAGACACAAATACACACCAAGCCACACAAACATTTATTTCAGAAACGTAATTTATGCATTTTCTGGAGACTTTTTTACATACTTACATCCACTCGGATATTTCGATCGCCCACTCAGGCTCATTCTCTCTCCTTTACCCTCATCCCTCAGTCACACACACACACAGTCTTTTTTCTCTCCCCTGGTGGGAGCTTAGTGAATCGTGCAGTTGGCTGAGTTCCAGTCTGTCTCTCCCCATTATCACCCACCCCCCCCCATTCGCCCCTAAGGGGCACCAGTAGCCCTTATCTACTACAACCCATTCTCTC